CAACGCCGGAGGTCGAATACCGAAAGCCCAAGGATCGCTTCCATGTTCTGAAGGACTGAGTCAAGCCAGTTTTTGAACTGACCCCCTTTTCGCCGTCTCGAATTGGGTAACAATGTCGGGTCGAGGACAGTTACACTAAGACTGTGAAGTTGATAACGAAGAACGTGTCCAAACCACCTCAGTCGTGCCTCCTGGACCCTGGGATAGCCTTGCGATGTTGTCAGAGCGAGAACGGTCTGTTTCATTTGAGGTGGAATCGATGTACTTCACTCGAAAGAAGGTCCGCAAGCAGTAGTGGTCAATTACATCCAGTTTTTTTTCATATTCCACACACATTGTTCAGCATTCGCAGCCGTAGAGAAGGATAGACCGAACAAATGCACGGTACACGCGAACCGTCGTGGTGATGAAGATGTCGCGTCAGGTCCGTAGGCACTTTCTAAGGCTTGAGAAAACTCTACGAACTGCACAGATTCGCCAGACAATGTCATCCTTAGTCTGTCCCTCCGGCAGCAGCCTCACTGTCGTATTAAAAACTGTCTACTTCTTCAAGTAACCCACTCGACCCTAAACAGTTGACGTCCAATCCTAAAAATGCATGACAGTCAAGCGCGATATCCTGATCACCTTTATTGATTTTCATAGTTGTAAACCAGGGTGGAGACGTTAACCCCGGAAATTAGCCATAGGGTTGACGTCATGCACGAGCCAAACGTCGGACCAAACCGTTTGAGATAAGAGTATGTGCGCGCGATCGACGGGTATGGCATCATGGTACAGATATGGTCTGTAAGGTTAGACTAGTAAATACTTTAGCTCAGTTGACACAATTGCGAAAACTTCGCGGCCTCGGTGGGAGTCGAACCAACACAGCAGGGAAGGCTTTTGCGCAGCCAACGCTCTACCATTCAGCTACGAGGCTCACTATGAGCTGTCAAACCCCCCTAGCAAATACTTTAGCATTGCTTAGATCTGCAGGGCATTGAGGCTGAAGTCCGTGGTCGTAGAACAGGACAGTCTTCAATACAGCGTAATGCAACCCATTCCTCATCTTCTGTTGAACTGCGTATTGGGACCACAAGCAGACGAATTAACAAGCACAACACTATCATTGGTATATACCGAAAGTCTTATCCTACCTGGACGTACTTATTCGACCTTGTGAGGCTGACACAAGGCGCCACTGAGGGGTTCGGCGGTCTCTTTGACAACCCCGTACAGTCACTGAAACACATAAAGCCGGGTCTGTGTCTAAAGAAATCGTGATACCAAAACTGTCATCCACCCAAGTTGGATAAAGTGTTTTTTAACGAATTCACAGACCTATACGGGATAGT